TGGCACTTAATTAGGATTATACAAAATAGTTAATAATAGAAAGTTCTCGTGCTTCAGACGGTACGCTAATACGGTACCGTTAACAATACGGTATTTAACATGGTATTTTATAGTTCTCGGACACATAAATCTTCTAATTCCTTATTCTGTTTACATTTTGACGGCTGAGTTGAGTGATCTAATCTAATTTTTTTTTGTTTGTTTTCTAACTTATTTATCCTGAAGATTTTGAGTTTGATTAATTTTCCCTTGGTGTTTTTTATGCAGGAATTATTAGAAGTTGCTGTTCTTGCAGACGTAAATGGAGCGTAAACGAATCTTGACATAGCATAGCGTTACGGTAAGGCATACGCTAAGTCCCCTTAGATAGCGGGCTCCGCTAACGCTAATACCGTAAAAACTGTATTTCTTGTCAAATAGCGTTACGGTATTTGAAATTTGGACAGCACGAGAACTCTCTAATAAATTATCAAGACGACTGACAGCTTAAAATAACGAAATGAATCGACACGCATTATTTGAAAATGTTTATATAAATAGATAGAAATCATGCAACGTCGCGCGCCATTGCCGACCAAAAATATCTGAAATTGCCCTACTTTAAATACTGGCGGCTAGACATAGGATCGCGATCCAATGTTGCCAAATCCTCCTTTCAAATTTAAAATAGATTTATATTGCGGATAATGTTACAATAATAATTAAAGGTTAATTTCTGTTATACAACAAATAAAGTCTCGCATGATTAGTGGGTAATAAATTAATCCTATTATAGATATTTATGTTATAAGGATCATAATCACGATCATTATGGTATTAGCCGTGAATATTATCAGACAAGGCGTCAGCCGAGTCTGATGATAACACGGCGTGTGCCATAATGATTGTTTATGATCCAAATTTCATACAATATTTTATATTCCAGAAATTGTAAATTATTTTAATCGTTAAATGTTGTCTTCAATAAATTTTTCATATTTTTGCCTACTAAACCTACCTATATTTTTTTCTCATTATAGTACTTATAATGGGATCTCATTATACTACTTAGTACTCTAATGAAATCGCATTAAATTAAAGTACTCAATCCAATAAATTATGTCATTTTGACACTACAAATGAGATCCATAATAATGTCATTTTATTATTATTATCATTAAAGTCCATGAACTTCACGTCGATGTTGATTATAATTACTTTGAGTCGAAAATACTTTTTTCTACTTGCGTGCGCAAAGTCATCACTTTGCACACTCATTTGCGTGCGCAAAGTCATCACTTTGCACACTCATTTGCGTGCGCAAAGTTGCACTTTGCGCACGGAAACTCTTTGCGCACTCATTTTTGTTACGCACAATTACCATAGTTATACTTGATTTTTCAATGTTTTGATGGTTTCTGAATAAACTAATATTCAAAATAAAAGCTTTTAATTGAAATTAACGTTTAGTTAACATGATGTTTCCTATCAAAGGTGTTCAAATTGGACCAGTCTGTACTGCTAGGAATTTGTAAAATTTTTGATATTCAAGAGACTCTCATGAAAATATTCTTGACGATTCTAGAAATTCCAGAAGATGTGAAAAGATTTTTGGGTATTTAATTTAAAAAACATTCTGAGGAATTCGAATAGATTTTAAATAATTTTTGAAGATTTTGATTTGATTGATTTTTCTAATATTTTACAATTCAGAGTCTCTTTTTCTAAGATACTCGTAGAAAAAATATTGTTCCTAACACTTGCGCAAAGTGTCTTTCCCGCACTCAAAGCTTATCCGAACTCCGCTTCGCGTCGTTCGTCTAACTGCTTTTTCGTGCGGGATAGTATCACTTTGCGCACTTGTTAGGAAAATAACTATATCGCATTCAAAGCAAAACACACCCATTTTGAAATAGTATTCATTCGTATTCGCGCTCTCAAAAAAAAATAGAAACAAATCGTACACAAATCAAAAATACAAGCAATAAGCGAGCTACTGAATACAATATACAATACTACTAGCTTTGTTTGTTTATTTGCACCAAAGAAATCAATGAAGAAGACAGACTGACAGAGACAGCCAAACTTGGCTCAATCGGGTGGGCGGGCACGCGCCTAGCATCGAAATCAATTTGGCAACGTTGGATCGCAGTCCTATGTTTAGCCGCCAGTACTTTAAATGCGTTGAAAAGTACTTTTAGTTTTGTTAGGTTGGCAGCAGAAATTTACTAAATGTGACGTCATCCTAAATATAACGTAATAAGCCTATACAATTTCTCTAACAGTCGAACAATAAATACTGATTAGTGATTCGCTTGAAATGCACTATAATTGGAAGTGTCTTCTAACGCATATGCAGAAATTTCTTTTCACACAAGATACTTTAGATCAGTATAAAATTTGTAGTTCGACTGAACGTCCAATTCGGAATTTTTAGATAGGATTTGATTGATCTATACCGAATTACTTTCATTTATTAATTAAATTGATAATTATTCTATTTCAGCGTTTTATTTGTTTAAATGACATCAATCAAGGCACCCCAAACCCCAACCCAAGGCTTTAAATGATCCAATACCTAGTGGTTAATTTTTACAGTCAAAGTAAAAACTTTTGGCATCCCTAGTGCGGTTTGACTAAAGACCAAAAAGGGGCAATAGCTAGTTCCGTCACAATTTCAAATCAGAAGAACAAGCACAGAAAATTCGAAATTTAAGCGTGGGAGAAAGAGTCCAAAATAGATTTTTTATTACGCATGCATCATAATCAACGATTATCGCACGCTGCAGCGTGCATAAAATGATGTTTATGATGCGTCTACATTTTCAAAGGTTTGCTATAGAAACGTTCGATCTACCTTCATTACCTAGATATTTACCTGCATACCTGCCATTTAAATTACTAATCAAAATGAATGAACACTTATGAAACATTTTTGAGATTATGATGCATTCGTAATAAAAAATAGCGTATGATATGCGTGTATAAGAGGGCATTTAAAGCCCTTGCAACTTACAAAACACTCCGCTGCGCGTCGTGTTTTGAAATATGTCGCGCGTGCTTTAAATGCCCTCTTATACACTTATATCATAATATACTATTATGAAGCAAACATTTTATGGTAATTTAGAACCATCACAAAAAAGTTTGGATTACTACACTATCAAGTAGAACTATATGATGGCTATTTTCTAAAAAGACATATAGATCAATTACAAACTACACTGGTTCCAAAAAAGACAGTTACCTTTTCAAGTGAAACTCCTCAGATAATACAGGATGAACTACCTCAAAATTATTTATCAGTTATATTTTACACAAGTTGTTTAAAAATCGAACAAAATCACCATCCAATCCAAGAAAATCATGGCTCTTATCATTCAATAAAAGTAAAATAGCGTGGGAGAGTGTAATATCCCCTGCATATTGTATAATTACCTTTCTCTTCGAACATTAAATAATACATTCATTCTTGCTCGATATTAAACTGATTAATGATACGAACTCTACACGTCCCGTGGATTCCAAACCGGAATCCACGGCCTATCGACCAATCAAATTCTCCGTATTTTCGGAATACACGGGCCGCAACGAGACAATACAAACAAAACATGACTGACGTCTACAGTCAGATCACGAAACTTTCAATTTAAAAAAAATTAAAGCGGGTTTAGACTTTTGATGATTGTTATTTCTTACAAAAACTAATAATTTTCTTTCAAAGAGTTCGAAGAGAAAGTATAGTCTTCTACTCGCATATAATGGCTATTATATGCTCGTTGAAGAAAATTCTATTTTCTTTTAGATACCAGTATTGTCAATGTAGATTAGAGTTGTTATTAATATAATAAAAATCATATCAATCACAATTAACTTATCAAATATAATAAGTTATCTATGATAGTTATAACACAACTGTTAATTTTATTCATTTATTTTTAATATAGAAAATAAAATAAATACTAATTCTAGAAAATCTTATTTTCATCCATTACTTTAAAAGAACACAAATTAGACAAAATGATATTCAAAATATAAGGTATACCAAATAATATTAGGGCTAAAAAGAAAAGTATTATTGTAATTTGTATTGTCTTAATTAACATTAATTGGGACTAGACCTAATAAAAAATTTCTATTTTAGCCATAATATTTCTTAGTAGGTAGGTTGGCATGCTCATATTTTATTAAAAAAAAATAACAAATCATCACATTTTGTGATATAACCTAGTACAAATAAAAGGGTGAATTCAAAAAATATAAAAACTAAAATATAAATCTCTGAAATTGAGCAAAATGGATTAAATAATACTAAGCATTAATCGTTAATCTTGATTTGCACAAAAATACAAATCCATCCTGGGCTGAAACCGAATAATATACATTGCATTGAAAATTCATCTATGTAATTATTATTGTGTAGACTTTTTAGCATTTTTTATTTGAAGTCATAATTGAAATGTTTGTTTAAGCAAAGAAATAATATCCAAATAGAGAAAACTGTAAAACCTGGCGTATCAAAATGACTGCACCAAGAAAAACAACAAATAATAATCTAAAGACACTCCACATAGGGATGTTGCATTATTGTATTCATGTGTTAAATGGAAATTACATGCCTTCAAGCAAGTTGGGCTTTTAAAGTTCAAAATAAAAAATCCAAATTACTGTTTTAATGAATGAAGTTCATGATCACTGCCAACTTAGAACCTGGGCCAATATTAATAAATACAACTGGACTTCAAAAATCCAGCCGAATGCTGAAGCTTCTGAATTTAATAGCTATTGTTGGTATAAATTCCTGAATTTCTGACCTATTTTCTTATTAATCAACAGAAAGTTTAAAATAATATCTGCTAAACTAAATGAGTCCTAAAATTAAATGGCATCCCTGTCAGAATCTTAATTGCTGTAATAGAACCCGTTGTTAAATTGGTAATAATTTATTTAATGAAATTAAACGGCTCTATCCAAAACAATGAAAAATCACAAATTGCTTGAACTTAATGGGTTTCAAAATTTTATTTTCCTCCTCTAGTGCCCCTTGGTTTTGCTTTACCCGAGGCTCTACCATATCCCTTTAATGGAGTAGGAGTGTTAGGCAAATTTCCCAACTGTGAGTTTCTCCTGTTAGAATCTGGAACATTATTAGTCCTTTGTGATCTTCTTGGTGATGTTTCAGTTCTTTCACTCAGTTTTTCAGTCGGTTTTTCTTCATTTAAAGAAGTACACTCGAATGAAGTATCCATTACTTCATCTTCAATTGTTTGAGGTCTTTCAACAGCCTGGTTTGTTTCTCTTAATAGCTTTATCTCTTCTTCTAGTTTAAATAAATACTTTTCAGCTTTTTTTAGTTCCAAAACTGTTTTAATTATAGCATCTCGTACTGAATTTTCTATTTGAGTTACAGAAACGACTCCGATGGTATTTTCAATATCAATTTTTTGAAACAATTTTTTTGAAAGCTTCTGAGGCTGGCTGGGATTTCCTATACGAACTATTAGATTCACTTAAATTTGGTATGGATACATATAATTTATCATAATGACCGTCATGATATCTGAAGAAACCTTGGAGGTAATTATAAGTTGAAAAAATTGTCTGTAGTTTCTATTGAGAGGATACACAAACAGAATAGATCTTGAGGCATATCAAATATTTCTTTAAATTTTTTATTAAAGATCTTATCTTTCAAGGTGAATTTCACTGAACTGGATGCTCCCATATTTGTACCAAGCTACTACTTTTGAAAAATGATTTCCAAGAAATTTTCTGATCTTTTCCTTATCAACTCTTCCGTTTGGAAAGTAATTCCTACACGGCCAAGGCACTGCTGAATTAATTTTGATGATCTTAGAAATATCAACTTGCACTTGATCATTATCAGTGATGGAATTAATTTCCTTCTTATGGACTATTTCGCCTAGTAAAAATCCATACTGGAAAACAAGTACAGAGGTTAAATTGCTGAATATTGGGAAAAAATCCTTCCTTACCTGTCCTACGGTGGCGTTGTTAGTTTCGTGAATTAAGAACGAAAAGCCAGGGCCTGAAAGAGCAACTGAGGCAGGCTGAAACTTGAACATGTTTTTTTTCACAAAATTAACAAATTTTAATGAAACCAGAAAAAATTCCTCTAAAGAAACAGCAGAGCAAAAAATCAAAATAAAATAAATAATGAATAATGACAATGACCATAAAAATTAACGTCATTTCAATGTCAATAATGTCACACGTCATTCTTCTTCTTTTTAACTAGGGGCGCATTCAGATTTCAGATTGAAAAGTCCAGAGTCCAGAGTGGTGGGACTCCGTGCCATGTAGAATTCGACATATCGAAACATATCGCATGCCGCACAGTGTGCCGGTGCCGAGCCGAGCTTAGACGTGCCGAGTCTATACAATCTTGTCGATATATAGAATCTTACCTGACATGGAGTCCCTGGGCAGAGTCGCTATATAGCCGCATTCTTTCGAACCTTTTCAGTTGATCAAAACGCGTTATGTTCCAGTAATCACGTTTATCGCATTTTGATATTTGACAGCTAGCGTAGCGTATTATGATCCGAGAAATTCTGAATAAATTGAACATTTTTTTTTTTGTGATTAGTTTGTTCCGATCACGAAAATCTGGGCAGCGTTCTTTCGAACCTCAATATTGAAACATGTTCTAATTGAACAAACTGATCAGGATCTCGGAATCATGATTCAAATATTTGCGATAGGCGTTCCAGTGCATTAGAGTTTCGCGCAACTGAACTGTTCGTTTTTCCTCTCCCCTGCCCTCTCAAACACCTGCTATTTTATTGGGGCATCAAAAACACGAAGCTTAAAGTAGGGTGCGTTCCAGTGACACAACAGGGGCGAGTTCAGAAATAACACACCGAGTATGAGTCCGATTTTATGGGTGTGCCTGAAATGACAATTCTTAAGCCGCTTTCCAGCTGACCATTTTGAGCACGCAATCGAGCTTTTGCGTGCGCAAATGCTTCAAGCGCGTGTCCGTGTTCCAGCTGGACTGCGCTTCGAGTACTGCTAATTAGAGAGTTCTCGTGTTTTCCAAATTTCAAATACCGTAACGTTATTTGACAAGTAAGACAGTACTTACGGTATTAGCGTTAGCGGAGCCCGCTACCTAACGGGAGTTAGCGGATGCCTTACCGTAACGCTATGCTATGTCAAAATTAGTTTAACACGTTCGCTGCCAACTCGGTCTATAAGACCGAGAACGTCTTTTCCAAATTCGCCGCCTCGGTCTATAGGACCGAGTCCCAAACTATCCACCGTCGCCAACGCGGTCTATTGGACCGAGCTTCTTTTTCTAGCCTGTAACGCCAAGCAATCATATTCAGGTAGCTTTTAACGTACAAATAGACCGAGCCGGCGATAGAGGATAGTTGGAACATACCAGTTTTTGATTTTTTTTTGTATCAGGTGTTATAGGTGTATAATTTAGTAGTAACATAAAATATACGGAAACACATTACAAAAAATACTTTATTGACTGAAAACAAAGAACAGGCGAAATTCTAACCTAATCCAACAGCTATATAACGTTATTTAATGATTTTCATACCTATGAAATTTATTGAAACATTGCAAACAAAAAAATGGTTCATGGGCACAACCTCTACAGTAGGTGCGAATTCTTCTCCTCTTCCGCGCTTCTTTCCATCCTTTCTCGTCTTTTAGTTTTTCATAACATCCACTGCATGACCTCCTTTTTTTATAATCGCTTTGTCCCAATTCGTGTTTTAGTCGTTTCCTTCTTGGAGTGTCTTCTGCTTCTGTATCAGTGTTGCATGTAGGATTGGATGCGACCTCACACAACTTGTAGGTAACAGCCTTTCGGAAATTTAGCAAAGTCATTTTGCCATCAACAACCTCCTTGTACATCACCCATGCATTGACCATCGCAGTATTCAGCAATAGTTCCACAGCCAACTTGCGATACCATTTGAAAGTTCTTCGCAGTGGTGTCTGGTAAGAGGTCATTTGATCAGAAATATCAACTGCCGACTTTCCTGCATTGTATGCTATAATGGCTTCGGGTTTCTTAGTGACCTGTTTCCTGCGATTTGTTACTTCTACTGTAGTGTCTGTATGTTTGGTGGAAAGTATCAGGACATTACGTTTATCTTTCCAATTGATAATTGTTACACCATCCTGGTTTTCTCTAGCTGATAACTCTCCTGATTTTAGTTTTTTGTTGATTAGCTCTTTCGGTATACCACGCCTCGTTTTTCGCATTGTCCCTATCAAATGGGTACTTCTATCTAGCAATCTCTTTGCCAGTTCAACACTAGTGTACCAGTTATCAGTTACAAGGGTACGCCCGGAATCTAAAATAGGCTCAAATAGTTTCATTACTACAGATGTGGGAGTAGTACGGCCTTGGTCTAAATTTTTTCCAGCATAAATTTGAAAGTTGTAGGTATACCCTCCCTTACTACATAACTTAAAAACTTTGATTCCATATTTATGTCTTTTATTTTTTATATACTGTCGCATAATTAGTCTTCCTCTAAATGGAATCAACGATTCATCAATGCAACAAGTTTCAGAGGGTTCGTACGCTATTTTGAAACTATGCACCATTTTGTCTACCAATGGCTGAATTTTATGAAGCCTATCATTATTAGGATTGTCGTCATTATCCGAAAAATGTAGCATTCGCAACAATAATTCAAATCTGTTGCGAGGCATTATTTTAGGGGCCATCGAATTTTTGTACATGTTTTCTTGACTCCAATAAGCCTGAATGTTTGGCATTTTTACTATACCCATATAAGAGAGTAAACCAAATACGTTTCTGATTTCATCTTTGTTGGTAGGAATCCATTCATGTAATCGTGATTTAGCCTTTGCATCATTCTGTTTAGTGATCTTTTGCGTAGCGTATAAATTAGTTTGGTCTGCAATATATTCAAATATGTGCTCACTCACCAGTGCGAAGTAAAAACTCTCAGGTGGTTCATCTCTCAAAAGTTCTGCTAAGTATTCCGCAACACCAACCTTTTTGGAAAACACCATTAGATGAGGCTGATTACCTCGTGGGGCGACCCAGTCAGTTGAGGGTCCATTGTCTGACACTGCAAAATCTATATCTTCGTCTTCATCATCCGTTGAATGAGCTATTATATTTGGCGGAGTATGTGATGCGGATGGGCCCGGAACAACAGCTATAGGTGGTGAAAGTGATCTACGACTTGATACATCCGAAGAATCATCTTCACTGGTACTTTCAACAGGTAGGTAATCGACATCGGCAACGCTATCATCTAATAATGAAAAACAAAATCAAATATGAAGAAAACCTATGATAAAATTTAGTTCTTTACCATCATCTTCCGAAAATTCTTCGTCTGACATATTTTCCAACTCTTCTTCTAGCTCTTTTAGCGACAAACCGCGATTTCTATTATAATTTTTAGACATCTTATACGTTCTCTACAAGAATTCTGCCGGCCGCTGTCAGCTGTCTGATCAGCTGTATCAGGTTGCAGGCAAGGCAAGCACCCTTTCCATACCCACGACAGCACAACGT